AGGGTTTAGGGTCTAGGAATTAGGGTTTCAGGTCATGCAGGTCTGCACGAAGCGGTTTATAACTCCCAAACCTTGACCCAGAGACTCCAAAACGCCTTATTTCAGGAATGTGCCTCAAAAAAACTGAACACCCAAACTGAACCCTAAACCCTACACCCTAAACCCTAAACCCTAAGCCATATATATTCCTTAACTGAGGGGATGTGGAGTCGCCGCGCACATAGACCACTAGAGTTTCCAGCCTTGAGCAAGTAGTATGAGCACGACTCGGGGTTAGGGGGTTAGGTTTAGGGTTTAGGGTTTAGGGTTTAGGGTTTAGGGTTTAGGGTTTAGGGTTTAGGGTTTAGGGCCTTAAACCCTAACCCAAAACCCTCAACTGCATAGCGATTGTTTGTTGGTAGCTGGGCCCCAAGAGGAACTCAATCCGAAAGTGACGGCCCTGCAGCCGAAACGTCCAAAGCCCCAAGGCCCTTGTAGTACGATCTTCACAAGATGCCCTTGGCGGTCATCCAGAGAACCCAGTACCCCTTACTTAAGGAATACACCCTAAATCATAAAAGTAAGGCCCCCCATGATTTAAGGTCAATTCCTCAACTAAGGGGTATTGGGTTCTCTGGGCATATGCAACCGAACATAAACCCTTTACCCATCCTATAGGAGCGTAACTGATTGATCTTCGCCCAGCATCGTGGGAGCCTCGATTCTTACCGAAGTACTGCGAGCTTCGCACGCCAGAAAGGACCTTAGTGCTCCAGAAGAGAGACTTGCAAAAAGGCTCTACTATCATTATATTGGCCTTAGCAAGTTTGGTGGGGGTTTGGGGCATGTTACAATTTACATGTCTTGTCATTCTTGCAAGGGCACAGTCTTGGTAGCTTTCTTCCGGCTGCCCAAAAGAAATTCGATTTCTCACCTGCAGCCCCAAACCGCAAAAACTAGCCGAAAGCCTAAGCCCTAAACCGGTTTCATGATTTCCTTGTTCGGCCTGGGGCTTCACGATGCAGGGGTTTTGCAAACTGAAATCCGAAGAGCCACAATGGGGTAGCTCTCGGAACCCTAAACTCCAACTAAACATCTTAAACCCCAAACCAAAAAACAAGAGAACCTGAAATCCCTGAACCCCGAAATAAAATAAACCCCAAACCCTACAAACCCAAACCCCTAAACTCCTAAACCCTAAACCCCAACCCCAAAACAGGGTTTATAGTAAACCCCAAAAAAAAATTCAAACCGGATTAAGGACAAATAGTGCAGGGATTCCCTATACATGACTCTTAGGGATTGAGGCTATTGGGTTTCCACCTTTTGGGCTTCTACTATATACCTTCAGAACCCCAAACCCACTTTTTTTTGTAGGTTCTTATTAAAAACCCTAATATGGGATTTATAGGGACCCTACAAAAAAAGTTGGTTTTGGGTTCTTAAGGTAGGGTTTAGGGTTTTAGGGGCCTCCTCCACCAACGCCGGGCAGAGCAAGTTCGGCCGCAAGCGCAGGCCGCTCTCTCCCAAAACTCGCCAAGCGAGGGACATAGGCTCTTGCACTCAGGGGTTTGGGGGGGTTTCGGGGGGTTTGGGGTTTAGGGTTTGGGGTTTATAATTAGGGTTTAGGGTTTAGGGTTTGGGGTTTAGGGTTCAAGGGTCTCGCCCCAATAGTTTTCTATGGCTCCCAGAGAACCCAATACCCCGCAAATAAGGAATATACCTTAAATTACAGGGGCCTAAATACTATGTAAGGGTTTGGGACCGATGATATCACTGGCTCTAATCGGCTCCGGGAACCTCTGCAACGATGTTCTCAGCATTAAAGTCTCCGTCCGGATTCTCAGCTAGACGGGATTAGGGGTACAGTCAACCCCCAAAAAGTTGGAAACCGGATTAAGGACAAATAGTGCTGGGATTCGATATACATGACTCTTAAGGATGGGGGCTATTGGGTCTCCAACTTTTGCTTACTTCGCCAATAGGCCAGGGAAATAAAAGGTTAAACTTTCAGATTACTACTGAATTAAAAAGAACCCAAAAAGTTTAAAGGTTGGGTATTGGGGAACTAAGTTTGGGCTTCCACTATAGGGTTTAGGGAGACGGAGACAGCTTGAGCCGAGAAAAGACATTGAGCTTTGGACCCCAAGCCGTACCCCACTTTGCAAAGTACAGCTTAGGGTTTAGGGTTTAGGGTTTAGGGTTTATATCTAAGGTTGAACCCATAGGCTTTGCAAAGTACAGCCAATTTGTATTATTTCAGGACGTGTCTCAATCAAACGCTCTCTGGAATCTCTCGTCGTGCTTAGTCGCTGAATCCTCAACTTCCTAGGCCCCGAACCTCCAACCAAACCTAAAACCCTCCCTTTTCCTTCCTCTTGCTCCGTCTCTGCGTCCATGTATATATACATATATATATATATATATAAATACATATACATATACAT